GGGAGTGCTCAGGTCTTTTTACTCAAGTGTGATGTCACTGGGCGGGGGGGGGGCTCTCTGGGATTGGGAATAAGGGTCAGGGGAGCTCCCTCTGACGGGAGGGAGGGAGGGAATGTAGGCAGACAGGCCTGTTCCCGGGGAGGAATAGTATGAGTTTGAGGTTGTTGCTTTGTCAAATCTTTTTTCCTTCCCTGGGTTCTCGGCTCCCCCTTATCGTTGCCCTTTCCCCAAAGCTATGGTATCTCCCATTCCAGAACCCTAATTCCCCTCGAAGATCCAAGTCTTTAAAACACAAAAATGGTAAGTGGGGCTAGACCAACAGGGGCACTGCTAGCTGTATTGTCACAGGGCTGGTAGTGGGGGTGGGAGGGAGGGCCTGTGAGCCTTCTGTCACCCCCACTTCCTCTCTGGTTATTTTCAGGGTTCTCTGTCTGTACCTCTGCATCAAACACCCTTCCCCTTCTTTTTTCTTCTTCAGGGGAACTTAGCAACTCCGATCCTTTTAAGGTGAGTAGAAGCTCCTTTTTATGCCTCTTCTCTTTGCCCTTGGGAGGTGACTGGGATTTGGACAAGGGAGGTCAGGATGCTGACAGCTAGAAATGGTTGTGGGGCTGTTTGAGTCTTGGGTCTTCACGTGCTTTGTTGTCCCTTCTCCTTGTCCATATGCAAGTAGGTTGGAAGGACTCTTAGAATATAGAATGGAGGCAGGGATGAGAGGGACCGAGTCTCCATTCCCACCCCTTTCCTACCTGTTCTCTTTTTTTGTTTCTAAACTTCTCTGATCTGTACCTCTGGTTCTCTCACAGTATAGCAACTCAACTGGGATCAGCTATGAGACCCTGGGGCCAGAAGAGCTACGGAGCCTGCTCACCACGGTGTGTGATTGGAAAGGGGGAGGTTTGGCTTGGGCTGGGCAGTGGGAAAAGAACCCTGAAAGACACAGGTGACATAGCAGCTGGAGCCATAGCTTTCTCTGAGAGTGGGCTCCCTGTTCCACCTGCTCTGGGGCTGGTTTCTACTTGGGTAGTTTAGCATTGGCACAGCATCTAGTGTTTGGAATAGGCCTCCTACCCCTCCTTTCAGCTTATGTTCCTCTTCCAGCAATGTGGAGTGATTTCTGAACATACCAAGAAGATGTGCACAAGGTGAGCACAGAAACTAAAAGGGGGGCTGGTCCTGTGGGCATGGGTCGGGAGTACCCCTGGATTTGAGCAATGGGCCATCATTCTTAACCTTCCCTTCATCTAATAGACCTTACTTACTAGGCCACCATCTGGGGATTCACTACTGACTCTTTCCCTGTCCCTCCAGCTTCTGCTCCACCTGAGTTCCTGAAGTCCTTTCCTGCCTTGTCAGGGTCTGATCATTCTGTCCCCACCAGGTCACTACGCTGTCCCCAGCACACAGATGAACAGAGGCGAACCGTACGGATATATTTCCTTGGGCCCTCAGCGTAAGTGAACTTTCCATATGGGTGGTGGGTTAGGTTGGTGGTCTCTTTCCCTAACATGTTTCTTTGACTCCTCTTTCCAGCGTCCTTCCAGAGGTCGAGAGTTCCTTGGATAATGACAGCTTTGACATGACTGACAGCCAGGCCCTCATCAGCCGACTTCAGTGGGATGGCTCTTCTGATCTCTCACCTTCTGATTCAGGCTCCTCCAAGACTAGCGAAAATCAAGGATGGGGTCTAGGTATACAGTGCCAATTGATCTCAGGGGCTTTGGGCAGTGGGGCGCCGCTTCTCCCTTCATCATTCCACTCTCATCTCTTGTGCCTCCTCCTCTGTAGGTACCAACAGCTCTGAATCACGGAAAACCAAGAAAAAGAAATCCCATCTGAGCTTGGTAGGGACTGCCTCTGGCCTGGGCTCCAACAAGAAGAAAAAGCCAAAGCCACCGGCTCCCCCAACGCCCAGCATCTATGATGACATCAACTGACTTGGGTGCAAGGGATAGCCTTTGGCTGAGAGAGCCCTCTCTCCCGACCCCCACCCAGGCAGCATAGCCTGGCATATGGACAGCTGCTGGGGGTTTGGGCTTGGGAAGCTTGGTGGGCCAGGCAGGCAGAGGATCCAGTTATGTGCCCCTGGGGGGTGTCAGGGTCCTCTGCAACAAAGCATGACCCCTCGGCGTGCAGGACTCAGACCTGGACATATTATGCCTTGGACATAAGTTTGGTGGGGAGGTGGTTTTCCTATTTATTCTGTGAGTTACTGGATGTCCAGCTAGGCTGGGGGCCTGACATGGGCACTGTGCCAGGGCACTGCCTGCTCCCCACCCCAGGAACTGGACTAAGCCCTGCCGAGGGGCATTATGGCTACCCAGGTGGCTTTGGTTTGGAAGCTGAGCCCAGAGGGGGCCTCCCCTGGCTGCCCTCAGCAATGTGAATGGGTCCGGTGCTTGGAGCTGAGGGGCAGGGCTGGTGTGTCCTGTCTGTGTGCAGAGTCCTATCAGATGTCCCCAGTCCCCGGGGTCAGCAGGCAGAGTGCTGTCTGCTGAGGTGGGCGTCCAGAACTGCCTCACAGGGGCAGCCCTTTCCCCTCAGTCCCCATGGGCCTCCTTGGCAGCAGGAGCTGTCCTTTGTTGTTGGGTGCCAGGAAAGGGCCTCCAGCCTCTACAGCTTCAAGGAATGGGAACGGGAGGGTAGGAAGAGGGAGCCTGTATCAGAGTGGCCCCCTGCCCTCCCTGCCCCAGGGCTGTGAGGACAGCCCAGGTGAGAGGGACGGTGCTGCTTTATTTGAAATGTTTCTTACCTCATTCCCTGCCCCAGGAAGGGGCCCAGCCTCACCCTCCTGGGGTGGCCCGTGTTCTCCCTCCCATCCTGCCCCCCCCCCCCCCCCCCCCGCCCTGCCCTGCTGGGGCAGCCTAAGTTCCCAGCTGCTGCTTGCCGCCCCTTCCACCTTGACCAGCTTTGGTTCCTCTCAGTGCTCCTGCCTCTAAAAGCCTGCCCTGTTCCCCTCCTCCCTTGCCGCTTTTAAGTTATTTATTCTGTACTTGTGGTTTGGGGCTCTGAGGAAAAACCCTAATCTTGTGCCTCTCTCCCTTTGCTAGGAATAGGGTGGGATGAGAAGGTAGTCTCTGCCCTGGGTTGTCAGTGGAGGTTGGGGGATACTGTTGCCCCTCTGTGGGACTGTCATGACTGTCATGCCTGGCTTACATCCTCAAGCGATGTACTGTCACACCTCCCAAGTAGGTGATATCATGCCTTGGAACTGAGCTGGAGTACCTGGGTATGGGCTAGAAGAGTACAGCTGACTGACAGGGATGGGATTGACCCTGAGCCACGTTTTCTGGCACTTGCTATACATGTCCCCTCTCTTCCCAGGAGGAGCTACTCCCATGTTGGGTAGCTAGTACCCAGGACTGGTTGGACTGATTTGGTTAGGGACCCTAGAGGGTTAAGGGAACAACAGAGCTAGGGTTGCAGTACCCTGTCTGGAACCCCAGTCTCCCCCTGGGGTGGTTCTGATTGTAGCTGATGCCTGGTTACAAATTGGTTTTTAACCCAAGCATTGTGATTATTTTTTAAAAAGTCAAACCAATTTTGGCAGGAGTTAGAATAAATCCTGGAGCCTGGGCTCCTCTGTCCTTGGCCCTCTACAGCCTTCTCCCTTGAGGGGGATCTAGAGGGGGAGAGAAGGTTCTCGGCTGCCCCCAAGCACAGTCTTGGGAGCCTGCTGAAGATGGTGGGGGGGCAGCCAGCCCAGGCTGCCATCCCTTTGGAGACTTAGCTGCAGCTCAAGCCAACTCACTCTGCTCTCCCACCTCTCCCTCTGGTTGGAGGGAGTAGTTTGGGAACTGGTTTGTCCTCAAAAACTTCCCTATTGTTCCTTGGCTCACCCTCAGGGCAGAGCCCCCTGCCCAGGCTGGGTAAGAGATGGGCTTGGTCCAGCAGGGACCCTGAGGGAACAAACCCCTTCCTTCTGGGGAGTATGCCCCCCCTACCATGTAGTTGAGCAGGGGCTAGGAACTCCCCACTCCCTCTAACAGCAGGCTGTGTGGGTATCAATTCCCATCCTCCCCACCCTGGCTAGGTGTCGTCCACCTTGTATCCTATCATGTGTCTGAGTGTGTGTGGGGGATTCTGTACTAATTTCCATGGCCGGTGGCTTTTCCTTCCATGCATCACTCCCCCCCGCATGCCCAGGGGCCACCTGCCTGGCATTACGCATGCTGGGGTCATTGGGGGAGGGGGGTGGGGCTCACGCTGTCCTGTGGTCTTGAGATTTTTATTTTTGCATATGTAATCCATCCTGTACAGGTAGCTAACTTTGTAAACGCTGTGTATTCCCTCTGCCCCCATGGCTGCTGGTGTAAATAAACTGCATCTCCCGTTGGTAGCCTGGCCTACCCACCCTCAATGCCATGTTGTTGAGGGTAGAGCAGTCACAAAATAAGCTCCACAACCACAAAATGCAATTTTATTCACTCATACTGACCCATCATCTAAGGGCCTAGGGCAGGGCAATCTATACCCAGAGCTGTCATTGGAGCTGGGAAGGACACTGGATTACAGCCAGTATTCTCTTGCAGCTTTAGGCCTAGGCTAGCAGCTGTGGCCTGGCCCCTCCATGGTGGGGGAGCTTGGGCTTCTGCCCCAACCCCTTTCCTAACTGAGCTCTATGCCGGCTATGTGGGGGGAGGGAGAAAAAGGGCAAGCAAAGTGCTTTAAAAGAAAGCAAAATATCCTATTCCTACTCCAAGGGGTACAGGGAGGAGGTGGTGGCAGCTGGATGCATGTAGGGAAAGTTAGTAGAGACTTCTCATCCCTGCCTGTGAATTTAGTTTCGAAAGATATGCACTCATCTAAGGCAAGGAAGCAGTACTTCGAGCTCCCTGCAGAGGAATGCTAAGGCCTTGCTGAGCTGCCCTGGCAGGAACCCTGGGGGCTAGGGAGCAGACATGCAAAAAATGAAAAGGGTTAGGGTCACAGCCAGGAAGAAAGACCCAGAGCCCAAGCTTCTCAATGAGCTTTGAACTTTGGGATTCCAATAGGGAAGATGATATCCTTGTTTCTACCTGAGTTGTGCTTGCAGAGAGATCTGTACCCTGTGGACAATGAGGGAGGCCACACACCTGTTTCTTGAGTCCTATGGACAGGGTACCCACCATATTCCTTCCATCCCTTCCTCCCTCCCAGGTCCTTTGGGCCCAGCTCTGGCCAGGAAAGGGGGAGGCCATGAAGGAGAAAGACCATGCCTTTCATTATCTCCTGGTGTCCTTATCGTCCATACATCCCAAATACCAGGAAACTGAAGAAGACCGTGACTCCCACCAAGGAAACAGTGGCAGGTGCTGTGAAGAACTGGCGGTAATTGATACGGAAGTACCAGACCACACCCAAGAGCACCACAAACACAGGCACCATGAGGCTGCCCACATTGACACCAAGGCTGGATGACTCAGTGGCTGAGGGGGTCAAGGAGCCTGAGGGGCCAGAAACAGTTGCCCCTGGGGGTGAGCGGTGGCAGTGAATCACACAGTTGTCGGTAATGTTCAGGGAACTCAGCGTGCGTGCTGGGTCCTGCAGCAGCCGACCCTGGTATATCAGCTTCATCTGACTCTCTTGTCCAGGGAAGTATTTGCTACAAGGATGAAAGGAAAGACTGGGTAAGGAACGAGAATATATAGGCCTGGACCCACAAAGCAAGGCATGGAAGAAACTAATGGGCCGTCTATGGGAAGTTCCCCTTAGCAGAGGCTAGCCATTAAAACTCCTCTAGTGATATCGAATCTGTACCACCTCTTTCAGGGAAACCAGTGCCCGAGGCACAAGTCATGAGTAACTGCTCTTTCCAGCCTACTCACCTCTTTAGGGTACCCACAGTGTCCTCTGGCCTGGCCACAGCCAGCTTCTCGGTGTCATTGAGGAACTTGAGCCGAACATTGATGAGGCTGGGGCTGGGAGAGAGGCAGGTGCGATCATCTAATCCCAGTGGAGCTTCTGGATGGCTGCTCTCCAGGCCTGCTTGTCTTTTGGGTAGGCCTTGGATATCCAAGAGATGCTCAAGGCTGGGCTCCATATCTGCCCTAGCTCCAGGTTCCCCAGTGGAGTCTCCCCCAGTGTCACTGGTCTCTTCAGCCTTCTCTTCATTCCCCTCTGACGGATGGGGGATTTCAGTTGGTTCTGGAGTGCCTTGGCTTACCAGCTGGTCCACATGCCCCAGGTGGAGAACAGATGTGTCGCCCGCCGACACAATGGTGCCCAGCAATTGGTTGTTACTGCTGTCTGCTACGTAGGTAGAGAGCCAGGCTAGGACCAAGGCTAGAATCAGCACCACTACACCTGCCACCACCATCACCTCATTACCCACACCCTCAATGAGGGTGACATCAGAGAGCTCCATGGCCTGGCTGCTGCCCGGGTCCACACTGCAGGAACAAAGGAGGATAGCATCAGCAGGGATGAGGGGTGATAACCAGCTTGTTAACCAGGTGATAATCTAGTTTGTTTAGGTTCTGAGTCAGGCTGGGGGCGGGGGGAGATGGGAGTTTGTAGTGTTTTATAGGAGAGGCAGCCAACCTCCCTAACTGTAGTAGACCCTCATTCTCAAGCTGAGGATTTACCCTTGGCCTCTATTGTGAAACTCTAGCTTTCAGATTCTTTTATTTATTTATTTTTTAAATTTATTTATTATATATACTGTATTCTGTACCAGATCTCATTACAGATGGTTGTGAGCCACCATGTGGTTGCTGGGAATTGAACTCAGGACCTTCAGAAGAACAGGCAGTGCTCCTAACCTCTGAGCCATCTCTCCAGCCCTAGCTTTCAGATTCTGATCCCATAAAAAGCACGGGTCACAAGAAGAGCCTCATAAGCTTGTCACCAGCTGCTGGTTGCTTTTTTTTTTTATTTTAAATTTTTTATTTATTTTTTTGATATTTGGAGGAGAATGGAGAAAGAACATTGCTTCTTCCCTTATCTTCAAGTCTGGGTAGCTCTGTCCTGGAAATACCACTCTATAGACCAGGCTAACTTCAAACTCACGAGCTCCGCCTGCCCCTGCCTCCGGAATGCTGGGATTAAAGGCCTGCGCCACCGCCACCACACCTGGCTCCATATGATTCTTTAAGTCCGGAGTTTCTCTAAGATTCCTAACACATGGTCAAGCACACATGGCCTCCTAAGCAGCCTCAGCCAGAGCTTCAAAGAACGTGAAGACTCCTTCCCAGGCACTGTGCAGCAGCCCCGTCAGACTCATCTGATCACATCTCACTCATGGCCACAGACCCATGCGTGCACAGCTGTCAAGAGCCAAGATAAATACATTTTGCTCTATCAAGGACAGAATCAGACAACTTCAAGTGGATAAATGTATTGAGACTATCGGCAGACATGTTCGTCTCCTACAGAATTGTTCTGGCAAGTTCTGGGGAGCTGCATGGGACAGACACCAGAAACACTGCCTTCTTGGGTCACCATGGGCTTGGCTCACAACTATAAAACCACTGCCCCAGCATACACCACTCCAGTTATCCAGAACTTGGGAAATGAAAGCAGTGGGATTAAGGGTTCAAGACAAGCTTCCACTACGTTGCAAATTCAAGGTCTGCCCTAGACTACAAGAAGAAGCTTTTTTTAAAAAATTGCCTGAGTAATAATTATTTGGAAAGATTTCTCAGTCCTTATTTCATCCTGTCTTGTGCTGTGAAGGTTCTCCCTCTGCCGTTTCTTAGAAAAGCATGGAGGATCTCTGCGTATTCCTTGGAGACTCTCCTTCACAGCTGTCCCTGGGCAAGTCCATCTGGTGATCATCATTATCAGACTATTCTCACAGCAAACATAAACGTCGTTACACTTAGAACCTGTCCATCTCTTTATTGATTTCTGGAAGAATCCTCTGTACAAAGCTCTCAGTGGCACACCACAGTAGCCGCCCCCAAAATATCTGTGAATAGACCGACATTCGAAGAGTTTCCACAGCCGTAGCGAGAGACTGGCTCTGGAGTCAGGGAAACAAAGTTCGCGGTCTAGTCCCTCTCCTAGCTATGGAGCTGCCAACAACTCCCGACGCCTCAGCTCTGCCAGCACTAAAGCGGGGTTGAAAAAGGTACCTACCTCATTAGGTTGTTTTGAAGATGACGTGAAAGCATCGAAGCAAAACAATTTAAGAGTGTTCGATCAACAAATGATAGCAAATATGTCTCACTCCCACGACTGACCCCTGAAGATAAGGTTAATGTCAGGAACCGTGATTTACACAAAAGGAAACTGTGGCAAAGGCGGACGGAAACCGAGGACACAAAGTGCCGTGGGCAGGGGCCAGGCAAGACCCCGCGTCCGCCTGCTCCAAGGCCTCAGCTGTCCCCTCCGCCTGTGGACGCCCCCGACCCAGCTTTTCCTAAGGCGAAGGCTCTGTCCCCGTGGCAGCAGAGTCCACGAGTCCCCCCACCCCGGACTGAAGGCTTCCGGGTCACGGTGGCAGTGCCCAAGCCCAGCTCTCCTGTCCGGTGATGGTTAGGGTCAGGTGAGGGGGGTCACAAACCATCCACACCCCTCAAACTTCGGGGCGGGGCGGAGGACCTAGGGGCGGGGCCTGCGGACGCGGAGAGTCATGGGAAATTCAAGGGGGTTTGTCTCGGTCCTGTTCCTGGATGGGGAAGGAGCGGCTCACCTGACAAAGCCAGGATAAATGTTTTGACTTCGCAGGGCAGTCTCTGCACCCGTCTTTCCGTAGGGGTCGGGGGAGGGGCTGGCAACTCAGTATTCTCTTCAGGGTCCGATCTCTTCCGGCTTTTCTCGGAAGCTGTTAACACCGGTACCGGAACTCCCGCCTCCCCGCCTTGTACTGATGACGCAAAGCTACGTAAGGCGGACTGACGTAAACAGAATCTTCAACTAAAAGGGCCAGGTTGCACAGCGGCGGGAGGGGCGGAGTCATTGTTGGCGGGATTTCGGCCTTCGGGCAGTGAGGCCACGCCCAGTGGGCGTGGTCATAGGCCGTCCAGAGGTCAGAGGCGGGGCCAGAAGAGGAGGAGCGAATCGGGAAGGTGCTTGTGGAAGGGGCGTGGTTTCAGCCTGGGCGATTGCACTGGCAGGCTCTGCTGGTGGACCCACGCTAGGCTTCCCTCTTTCCCTCCTTCCGGCTTCGCTCTCGAGCTCCGGAACTAATGGGATTCATTACTGCTCCGCCAGTGAGCACCGGGCTCCAATGTTGGGATCCGCAGGGTCTAGTATTTCTGACTTCTAAGAAAGTTGTTACTCGAGGAGACAGGCAAGAAGACAAGTTAGAGTCTTAAGTACTGAAAGATTCGCTTTGAGAAATAAAGCGGGAAGGCATTTCAGAAAAACAGATATACTGCCCTCTTAAAAATGATTTGTTTGTGATTTATTTATTTATTTATTTATTTATTTATTTATGTGCTTGTCTGTGTATGCCATATGTGTGTGGTTGCCTGCAGAGGCCAGAAGAGGGCACTGGATCCCCGGAACTAGGGTTGCGGGAGGCTATAAACCGCCAGTCTTGGGTACTGGTAAGAAAACTCAGATGCGGAAAGAATAAGCAAGTGCTCATGACCATTGAACCACCCCTTCAAGTCTGTCATCCTCGATTAGCTTTTCCTTTTTTTTTCCTGTTACCAAGTGAACCATCTCCCCAGCCCTTAGGATGACTACAAATAACTTTCTATTATTTTTCCTTTTACTATGTTGTAGTATTTATAAAACAAATCTGGGGTTTGGGAGGATGGCTCAGTGGTTGCTGCTTTTCTAAAGGACCTGAGTTTGGTTCTGACGACCACCTGTAACTGGCTTCAGAGGATCCTATGCCATTTTCTCGTTACTGCAGGTATCTCCCAACTTGTGGCACACACACACACGAATTTCAAACAAACCTAGGATCAACAAAATGACTCAGCAAGGCTCCTGCTGCCAAGTCTTCTGACATGAGTTCAATCCCCTGGACCCATATGCTGGGTAGAGAAAACCAGTTCTTGCAAGTTGTCTTCTTTTTTTTTTTTAATTTATTTATTATGTATACAGTGTTCTGTCTGTTTGTATGCCTGCTGGACATGAAGAGGGCACCAGACCTCATTACAGATGGTTGTGAGCCACCATGTGGTTGCTGGGAATTGAACTCAGGACCTCTGGAAGAGCAGGCAATGCTCTTAACCTCTGAGCCATCTCTCCAGCCCCTGCAAGTTGTCTTCTGATACACACACATGCGCGCGCGCGCACACACACACACACACACACACGATGTAAAACAAAGTTAAAACCACCCCTAAACACTGCCCTTTTAATATTTCATGCTCTAGGTGAATGGAAAATCTTTGCCTATCACAAAATTAATACATATAGTCTAATATATTGGGGGCTGGAGAGATGGCTCAGTGGTTAAGAGCACTGCCTGTTCTTCCAAAGGTCCTGAGTTCAATTCCCAGCAACCACATGGTGGCTCACAACCATCTGTAATGAGATCTGGTGCCCTCTTCTGGCCTGCAGGCATACATGCAGACAAAATACTGAGAATACTGTACACATAATAAAAAAAATTCATATACTCCAATATATCTTTTCTTTAAAAAAAAAACAAAAGCAATAAAGAGACGTTGTGTGATTTAAGGCATGATAGAAGAGACTGAACTGGCTGGGGCTTAGCTGCTGTAATGGGGCAAAAACTCAGCATCATTCCCTGGAGCAGGATTCCAGCTCAGGCCAAGGACTGGGAAGCCTTCCTTTCCTTCTCTTAGAAGCAGTGGTTCTCAACCTTCCCAATGCTGCAACCCTTTAATACAGTTTCAATGTTGTGGTGATCCCGACCATAAAATTATTTTTGTTAAAGCCAGATGTAGTTTAATCCCAGCACTCAGGAGGCAGAGACAGGCAGATCTCTATGAGTCCAAGGCCAACCTTGTCTACAAAAAAGGAATTCCAGGACAGCCAGAACTATGTAGGGAGACCCTGTCTCAAACCCCATCTCCCCAAATTATTTTCTTTTTTTTAATATTTATTTATTATGTATACAATATTCTGTCTGTGTGTATGCCTGCAGGTTAGAAGAGGGCACCAGACCCCATTAAAGATGGTTGTAAGGGGCTGGAGAGATGGCTCAGCGGTTAAGAGCATTGCCTGTTCTTCCAAAGGTCCTGAGTTCAATTCCCAGCAACCACATGGTGGCTCACAACCATCTGTAATGAGGTCTGGTGCCCTCTTCTGGCCTTCAGGCATACATGCAGGAATATTGTATACATAATAAATAAATAATTTTAAAAGATGGTTGTGAGCCACCATGTGGTTGCTGGGAATTGAACTCAGGACCTTTGGAAGAGCAGGCAATGCTCTTAACCTCTGAGCTATCTCTCCAGCCCCCCCCCCCAAATTATTTTCTTTACTCCTTTATAACTGTAATTTTGCTACTGTTATAAATCATTATGTAAATATCTGTTTTTCAATGGTCTTAGGTGACCCCTGTGAAAGAGTCATTTGACCCCTAAAGGGGTCTCTACCCACAGGTTGAGAACCACTGTCTTAGACCTTTGGCTTTGTGGAATTAAAGCAAAACCTCCATCTAGAAACAGGTGGTTCCTATTCAGCTGAACCAGGGCAGAAGCTGTATTGTGAATGTGAACACACAGAACTCCCTGGAGGAGGGAAGTGGACTGAGGCCCAGGAAGCAGGCCCAGGCTCCTGATGCGGCTCTGCTGTCTGCTGGGTGATGTCAGCTGGTGACTGAGAACCCTGAATCCTCAGCAAATAGGTCAATTAAACCCCTTTATTCTCTCTTGGGATAGCTACCACAAGGCTCCCAGGGGTGGGTGGGGGTGTCTATCACCTTTTTTGTCACCAGAAACACCTGTTCAAGGCAGAAAACGTGGAAGCCCCGGAAGCCCACAAAGAGAATAAAGGTGGCCTGTCAGAAACTTGCATCACATTCAAGCCTCATAATATCCACACGTGGGTTCTGTGCACAAATTATTTATTTGCATTCATAAAACTGGTTTGCCAGCCAGGTGGTAGTGCACACCTTTAACCCCAGCACTTGGGAGGCAGAGGCAGGTGGATCTCTGTGAGTTTGAGGCCAGCCTGGTCTACAAAGTGAGTTCCAGGACAGTCAGGACTATAGAAACCCTGTCTCAAACAAACAAACAAAGAAAACTGGTTTGCCTTGAAAAGCCTCCTCCTAAAGGTGAGTGGTCACACCTTTCTGTCTCTAGGACCAGAAGAAAGAAGAGAGAATGGCTTTCCACCTTTCTGGGCCCCAGAAGCCATTCTACACGGGCTGCCAATTAAGATGCCATGCAACACCTGGGGAGTAAGGGAGAACACATCAGAAATGTCTCCGGTGGCCAGGTGGCGGCGGCACACGCCTTTAATTCCAGCACTCAGGAGACAAAAAGCAGGCAGATCTCTGTGAGTTCGAGGCCAGCCTGGTCTACAAAGCAAGTTCCAGGACAGCTAGGGCTATTATACAGAGAAACCCTGTCTCAAAAAACAAAAAACAAACCAACCAAAAAAAAAAAAAAAAGAGTATTCTAGCATCCATTCAAGACATGGGTTTCATCAAGAGACAGAGGTGGACTCTGTGGTGGGACACTTGCTTAGCATGCCCCCAGCCCCGGGTTCCATGCCTCATGCTGGAGGAACAACAATCACAGCAGCCCTTTCTTTTAGTTCTATCCAGAGTCGTACTGGAAAGAAGGCAAAAAAGCAGGATACACCCTCCCCACAAAGATCTTGCTAGTGTTGACCTCATAGTTCTACTGCCTCAGCCTCCAGTACTGGGATTAGAGGTACAGGCTATCAAGTGCAACGAAGTGCCTGTCACTATGAAGGGCTGAGTAGACATATGGGTGACAAGGGGAGAGCTGCACCGTGGATCATTTGTAGCTTGGGGAGATAAAGAGGCCATCTACCTACGTAAGCACGGGAGTGGAGGGTTGGGGGCAGGCTGAGATCAGCAGGTGGCTTAAAGTGTCAGTGGAGGGACAAACTGGTCCTGGAGGCAGGCAAAGTGCAAAGGAAGGGGCAGGTGGTTTTTCAGCGTCGGTCGTAGGATCGGATGGAAGTAGAAGTGGCCCACTCAGAGCTCACCGGATTTGTCCCTCCACACACAGCAGCAGGTAGTCTCTGAGTAGTGGGGGCAATGGGAGTTGGGTGGCTGCCTGCCGACAGTTGCTACCCAACTGAGCACGAACAGCCAGGCGGGCCAGGTGCTGCAGCCGTCTTGGCTGGTTTTCCATGCTTAGGGCTGATCTGTAGAAGGCTTCGTGTTCCTAAGCCAGAAGAAGGAAGGATCGGATGATCCAATACCCCTGACTTTGATAACCCAATGCCATGGTATTGGGGACTGGATTTCAGTCATGTCCGTAGCCACTGCCACCCGAGACGTGCTGGTAGAATTCCCACCAAGTCAGAGCTGACTGCTAAGTAGATGGTTGTCAGCAAGAGGCTGGGCAGTGTGGAAGATCAAAGATCTGCGTGGGCTGCTGTGGACAGAAGCCTGGAACCCGGGGTTTCATGGCCTACCTTCCCTCTCTGAACCTGGTCTTGAAGCTTGAAAGGAGAGGCCTCTGGCCTCTCTAGCCCACTAGGGAAAAGCTTCGCCCTTGGAGTAGACATACCTGCCACAGTTCCGGGAGCACTGCGTCCACCCAGCTGTCGCAGGACGGAACACATGGATAAGCATTAAGGAGGACTTCCAGGGCCCGAGGAAAGTTGGCACAGAGTTTCAGCATCTGGGAATTAAAACAGGGGCCTAGGAGTTCCATGTTGCCCCGACTAAGGCAAGCCCAAAGCTGGCCACAC